GGGACGTGGCGAGCGTATTGCAACGGGAAGAAGTGCGGGTACGCGGTGCGGAGGGAGTGCGGGGCGGCGGATTGGCGCGTGCTGCGAGCTGTGGAGATGGTTTCGATGGGCGCCGGAGTGCTACCGGCGGCGAAGGAGACGGCGGGGAACGGCGGGGAGGGGGAGGGAGATATGATGTATATGAGAGGGAGGTTTGAGAGGGTGGTGGGGTCGAGGGACTCTGAGGCGTTCTATATGATGAATCCTGATGGCAACGCTGGGCCGGAGCTGAGCATTTACTTGCTCAGAGCCTGAGATTGAAGACAAATTAATTAATCCGTACCGGGCAAATAAATAGCTTGCTTGCTTTTATATATATGTTCGGTTGGAAATTTAGCTTCTTTTGGGAGGCAATTATATATATTTGGGGGTGATAAATTAAGCTATCAAGGAGGGAGGTTTGATTGGAAATTTTTTTGCTTGAATGTTGGGGCGGGTTGTGAAACTTCATGTTGTTTGAATTTTCATTCGTGAACAAATATGAAATAATGTTTCTGCTATTTTGAATGTTTTTGGGTGATCATTCATGAGATCTAACCAAGACTCGTTAATAATAATAACACCTAAAGTCATGAATCGGAGATATTTTGAAGATGTATTGATGTTGAAACAGTCGGTTTTTTAGCTTTTATTTGTTCTTGTCAGCTGTTTTCATAGCATTTTCGTGAAAAAATATTACATCAGGACTCCAAACGTAGAGTTTTATTTGGATTGCAATAGTTACTGTCTTATAAAAATATTCGACTGTGTTATAGAAATGTTGAAAAATGAAATGTTATTAAAATATTTATTCGGCTTTGTTATTCTAATAAAAAATTAAAATAATACGAAAAATATGTGGCTGTGTTAATATACTTAAATAACCTTTCATTTTTTATAATTAATGTTGATGGAAAAAGAAGGCATTGATTGATGTCAACTCAGTTGTTCTCGGGAGGATTTGGTCTTTATTTCTCTACCGTTAGAGCTGGCGTTTTCTTCCACTCACCGCAGCCACTATTTGCAGCGACGATGGATGGGCGCCAACGTGGGGCTGGGATGCCCCTGTTCCCTATAACGTTGGGCTTTAGGTGCCAGCCTATATATCGGTGCTGTATGTGAACCGATTAGATTACAAGTCATTTGGATTTAGTAAATGCTAGAAATCCGGCCTCTAAAAGATAAACTCCCAAAATCGTTTATTATATTTGTGTGTATAAAAAAAATATAAATTATATTATTTTATTATTAAGATAAAAATTAATCATTAATTTAATTTAAATATCTGTTTTAATTATGCTAATTAATAATTGATGATTATTAGAAATATACATGCTTACCATCATTTTCTCCAGAAATTAAGAAAAAATTATTTACATGCACCACAATTCTTATGTGTTTACAACATATCTAACGCTAAAGCTTCAATGTTTGCACATAACATCTTACTTATGCATACAAAATATATTTCACTAATTGAAAGCTCAAAAGGTGATATTTTAGATGAGATTTTCTAGATTTGGTTGGTATAAAAAATTTAGGTGTTAGGTATATGAATACTTAAGAATTTTGATGTATGCATGTGAATGCACCTTAAATTAAAAATAATGCAATAGTGAAAATGTCATTTCAATATTTGTTAAAATATTCAAATCCTTTGTCTTGAATTAAAACATTTTTAGTTTAACTCATAAAATTATTTTAATATATCATTATATATTATTAAATTTATAATAATAAATTTTAAATATTTATCATGTAATCCATTCAACATTTGGTTGAACAATTTGAACCTTGAACCTCTTGTTCTTCTAGTTTGATGTCTGATTAGATTTCACAATCTTGCAACTATCATTTTGTTAAATTCAAATATGCCCTATTCATTGAACCCAAGTTATAGAGCATTCGATGGACGAGAGAGAGAGAGAGAGAGAGAGAGAGAGAGAGAGAGAGAGAGAGAGAGAGAGGGAGAGAGAGAGAGGGGGGGGGAGGGGAGAGCGAGATGAGGTAAAGTGCATTGTAACACAAGTTTTGGCAAATTAAATTTAGTGGTATTTTATTGGAGAAATGACCCTCTATTTATTGTAAAATTTCATATTTGCTTGTGTTTTAATATGAATATTACAAATTATCAGGGGTGTAAACGAGCCAAACACGAGCGAGCCCAGGCACAGCTTGTGTTCGGCTCATTTATATTTCGAGCTCAAAAAGAGTGTTCATGTTCGGCTCATTTGCTTAGCGAACTAAAAACGAGTTGTTCATGAACAATGAGTCATTTTAATAACAGCCATAGAATGTTAAGTGTAGAGAAATATTTAAATTTTATTATTTATATAAAAACAACCTTTAATTTTAATTTTAATACATTTTTATTCTATTTTTAAATAATAATTTTAATTGATTATAAATTTTTTAACCTCGTATAATGAGTAGTATTTCAACCAAAAATAATTCGAGCACGAACGAACAAATGCGAAGAGTAATAATGGGGGAGGGAAATTGGATCCCCAATTAAAAACAAAAAAATACAATAAAGTCATAGGGGTTCCTCTTTCCACATTACAACTCCACTCAAAAGAAAAAAAGAAAGCAAAGTTAAAGCAAACCGAAAATACATACAACCCAAGTAAATGTACCATCCAAATAGAGTATACCCAACATTGCCATGAACAAAACAACAAATATTAGAGGTTCAGATCAGCAAAAATTGAAAACGGTGAGCCGTCGAGCACTTGAAAGGAAATAAGATCGTAGATTCCATCCAAAAATCTTCAATGAACCAAGGAGTACTCCACATAGTCAGTTGACGCATGAGGACTGGTCCTGAAATCAAAAGTAACGAAACCTTCCATTGCAAAATATTAGTTATATCGGTATACAATAAACCCAGATAGTTCTTAATAATCCAGAAGAAATAAGTAGAATGGTAGGACACAACCGAAATAGTAGTAGCAATACCATAGGTTCGAATAAGTGGTGAAGACAAAAAAAAAAGTATTCCTGTAGTGGGAGTAAGACATAAACCCATAAAATAGCACCAAAAAGCGGTCTCAGTGCAGCGTGCGATAGCAGGTATTCAAAAACCAAAGCCATAATACATCAAAATGAGGAAAATTGATGCCCAAGAAGAAAGGATCACCAAAAAATTCCCAAAAATATAAAGCATAAATATTATCTTCCAATGTAAGGAACATCAAGCAAATCTCCATTTAACAGAATCTGTAAAGTAGGTGGGAGCACAGTACCAAAAGCCTTTCCAATCTCTGCTTAGCAAGTTAATCAGCAGGGGAATTACATTCCCTATAAACGAAATGCATTTGGATGACCAAATTATGCCTTTTGATGAAATCCTGAATCATATTAAGCACACAAAGAACGTTCCAAGTAGGGGGAATGGTCTTATTAAACATGTTGATAATAGCTATGGAATCAGACTCTATATAAATAGTATAGAAGTGAAACATAACTGCAATCTGTATAGCATACCAAATGGCAAAGCCCTCAGCCTCTAAAGGTGTGGAGGCAGCAACAGGTGAGGCAAAATAACATAGGCAGTTTCCTAAGGAGTTTTGAAAAATACCACCCACACCAGCACCTTGTAGATTCCAGCTTTCGTCCAAATTCAACTTGACCCAACCGACGGAGGGGGGTTTCCACCTAATCAAGGAGGCCATCCTACCCCTCGGCGGAGGGTTTTGATGAACCAAAAAATTCCGAGAAGCTTTAAGATAGTAAGCAATAATATAAGAAGTTGTAATAGCATGTGTAGGAGGGGATGACTCAAACTTATGTGCATTTCTTGCAGACAAAAGAAACCACAAAATGATAAGGGGAAAAGAGTCCAGCTTCCCATCATATAAAGGCGCATTCCTCCAAGCACAACAATAATTTTCCAAATTAAAAATATTATTATCATTTGTAATCCAAGCTATACCGAAATAAAGCCCAACTAATCACCATACATGACGAACAAATTGGCATAGAAAAAAAATATGTGAGGCAGAGTCCTCCTCACAATACAAATATAACATCGCGAAGCCATACACAAGCCTTTTAGTTTCAAGATATCATCAAGAGGCAGAAGTAAAGAAAAATATCTCCATAAGAAAAATGATATAGAGGGGGATCTGTAAGCGTTCCAGAGATTGGTAGTCCATCAATAAGGATTGAAATAATGCATATTTTGATATAAAAGTTTGGTAATAGAAGTCTGAGAAGTGAATTTACACATAGGACTGTCCTTTTTAGTTGGGGAGATAGGTATTTTAAGGACACTTCCCATCTTATCTCCCACTAAATCCTTAAGCTTATGACCATCCCAAGATCCATCCCGCCAGCAATCAGAGACAAGTATCATATCCTCTTGAGAGGAATGGGGGAAAGTAGAGAAATCTACAACACCCCAATGATCATTCCAAAAAGATAAATTACCAATGCCAACATCCCAATAAATAAATTTTTGAGCCACAGGACAAATTTTAATCATAGCTTTCCAGAGTTTATAATTACCAGTTTTTCATTCAACATTCGTAGGATGAGCATACGTGCAGTATTTTTGATGAATAAAGCGAGCCCAAAGTGATATGCCTGTACGAAATTTAAACCAAAGTCTATACATATTAATTTCAGTGATATGATTAAGATTCTTAAAACCTAAGCCACTAGCACTATTAGGTTTACAAACTTTATCCCATGTAGTCCAAAATTTTCTGTGAGTGCTTCCAGCCCATAAGAATTTATTAATGAGCCTCTCCAGATTACAGTGAGTGCTTTTTTAGAGATGTAAAACTTGCATAGCATATAACAGAATGGTATGAAGGACACTCTTAAGAAAAGTGAGCCTGCCTCCATTAGAGAGGAAAATATTCCTCAAATCATTAATCCTTGCTTTAATTTTATCCACCACATCATCCATCTGCGTTTGTCTCCTTCAGCCTCTTAAAATATTAACTCCCAAATTTTTAAGAGGAAGAGAGGCAACCTGACAATAAGTGTAAGAAGCAACCCAATTGGAGAGAGTAGTACGAACATGCCTACCGAAGAAAAGCTGACATTTTGAAGTGTTAAAAGTTAACCCAGAAGTGCTCTGAAAAGTACTTAACATTTTCATCATACACTTAAACGTATTTTTATTGGCATTTGAGAAAAGGATAACATCATCGAAATAAGCCAGATGACTAACCATAAGCTTAGATTTATGGGAAAATTGGGTGTAAGGATGAGCATCTGCATGTGTTTCATAAGACGTGAGAGATAATCAAAAGCAATAATGAAAATACTGGGAGAAACCAGATCGCCTTGTTTAATACCCCTCAAAGAGGAGAAAAACCCATAAGATTTCCCATTAACAAGGACACTGTAGTAATTGTGCTCCAACCATCTCTTGATAATGGAGCAAAAAATATTAGAGAAACCGCGAGCCTTGAGAATGCCTAAAATAAAGTCCCAGTTGATAGTGTCAAAAGCTTTTTTATGTCGAACTTAAAAAACACATTCCCACCTCTGCACTTCTTATCTCTCTCTCTCTCTCTCTCTCTCT